AGTCACTTCTACCAAATCAAGAGACCACTTGGAGTTACCTTACTTTTGTGCAATCATCTCGCCGTTGCAGGGTCTCAACTTGAGAGAAATTTGATGGCTTTTAATCAGATCCAGTCGCCTAAGAAACTCCGATCCTCATAGAATCCAGGGATGCCAAAACCCACTTGTTGAATTCGGCGCACATATCCAGCTGCTCTCGATAATAAGCCTTCCTCCACTTATGATGTTCGCGTGTGAGATGGGCCACAGAGAATCTCTTCAAATCTATCGGTGGACACTGCTTATTCTGGTCACAATATACACAGTAGAGGCAAGAAGAGGATATCTCAACTAAGAGGAAATGGCCGAAGGCAATCAGGAACCCAGCGGGCATTTACACAATCCTACTCAGTCCGCTCTCATAGTGATCCATTGGCGTGTCGAGAAAGTCAATTCGAGCAGTCTGCACAGGAGCTAGGAAGGCTTCAGCACCATCATCAAAGAACATATGAACGAACGGTGAAGTTGCCAAAACATACTTGATCTTGCTCTCCTTCCTCATACTCAGATCCTCAAAACGCCTTAAGGATACATCGCTCCAACTAATGACCACAGCAGCCTACCTTCGCCGCTCTTCCGTCGACAAAGCCGAACTCACCAGACCCTGACTTGAGGAAGGCGGCTTAGCAAGCTCGTATATCCTCCCATCAGCCGCGCTGGGCCATGCCAATCCCTCCCTCGGTCGAATATTTTCTCGCTGCTGTTCTACCCGCCGTCGGGGACCGTCCCACCTTCTTGGACCTCGACTCTTACTGCGGCTCCTCCTCCGATCATTCTGCCAAATCCCACTGTGTCTACTATTCACATCAGCCCAATTCCCCAGCATCCCTTCTCCATCACACCACTGAGCTCTCTCTTGAGAAAGAAGCCTCCCTTTCCCCATGCGTAGCTCTACAGTTCTATCAGTCGGGGGCCGCCAGTTATTGACTTGTCCCCATGTCTCACAGCTGCTCGAGCTGGTAACTGCAGTCATCTTCATTGGATTCCTCAATGCCTTGAGCTCCTGCTGCCCTGAGGGCACGTATATGTAGTCGAATATTCTACGCTCATCGGACTTACCCCTTTCTCTCATCGGCGAGCCTGCAGAAGGTCCTGATGGTGTTATAACATGAGCGGAAGAGCTCGAGAAACTAACATGACCATATTTGAATTCAGCCGACCGCAGGGACCACAGGAGAATTCAGAGATGATCATCACATACGATCATTCAAAAATGTCCGAGCTCGCCTACTCGTTGACCTCTGGCCGATCCTCTGGCCGTTCCTCTTCCGATGCAATTGCTGTGCCTGGTGCTGACATTAACAAGATATTACGGAGCGTACAAGTAACATCAAAGGGCTTACTTCCGGAGCTTGGCTGTAGGTTGGTCGTTGTAGTAGGGCCTTCATGAATACTACTATATGACTCCGCCCTCTCCTCCTCCTCAGGAGGCAACAGATCAGTCGGGATGCAGTACATTAACTACGAACTAATCTAATCAACAGGCACTGAACCAGATGAAGGCCCAACTCGACTCCAATGACCATGAAAACTAATAAGCATTGAGCGTATACATGCACTGAAAATCAACCCGCTATACCCAGCCATAGGCCTATTCCCATCGAGACGAATCCTCCTATGCAGAGACCTGATGAAAAACGAAAAGAATACCCCTATCTCAGATCACAACCTTATTAAGCAGCGGTAATCAGTCCACATGAATCACACCCGATGACGCAGCCATGATACCCTCTGGCTCGACCAAGTTATAAGGACATCTCATACAATTGGGGAAAATTCGCAACGTAACAGAGTATCTCAAGCTACAAGTGTAGCGCCGTTAAAAGCGAGTTTTCCTATCAATTGCAGCTCCGATAGAGATGAGAATGCGACGAGTCCAAGATGACCTTGCCTGAATTAAGAGCAACCGCAGAGAAGCGGCCAGCAGCCTTCAGCTCGTCAGCTGTGAGCCCCGGTATCTCATTCACAGTGATGAGAGTGAGGCTCACTGAATAACCGTTGGCCAGTCCGAATATAAAAATGACAGGGAGCGAGATCCAGTCGCTTGAGATGACCTCGGTTGCACAAGAAAAGAGGAAAGGAACAAGAAGGGCACCTGAGAAAAAGGAGAGGGGCCGACGATGACAACATCCAACTCGCGGAACAGCAGAATGTTCGAGTAGAGTTCAATACTCAGGATGGGTAATATTTATCCGCCGTTACCAGCATTATAAGCCGAACAGATTTCCTTCGATCGAGGGTAATATCGGAGTAACTTACGGAATATGAGGGTTAGCCATACATTGGAGTGATCAAGTGGCCCTCGAAAACGAACCGAGAATCTCCCGATGACATCTGCAGTGGTAAAGACCGTAAGTAGGATGGTCTGGAACCAATGGTCTTTGTCGAGAGAGGTAAAGGTAACGCACGGGATGGCCGTGATGACCTGACGCAAGGACCCTAGCAAGAGGCGTGCCTCGGCAAGTCGCAGCATCTCCTAGTCGAACTAGAGTTTTTCGCAAGAAATCACCCCGCTAGTTACTCATCGTCAAAATGCCAACTCATGGACTCACCGAAGGATAGCAAGTAAGAGTGATCATCAACTGGGAGAAGATAATGGCCTCGTGGAACCATACTTTGCCGATGACATCTACTATATGGAGAGAACGGTGGGGATTACCATTCGACGGTGGACCTGAAACTACGTAGAAGGGCCTCTGTTGAGACTAAGTAACAGGCTCACTCAGCAGACTCCGAGTCATGTCTCCATCAGTACTGTCCTCATTGTCATCTTCCCCAGGTATAATAACGTTATGCAGATGAGCTGATATCGGCATACTCATCAGGGAGTAGAAGCAAACAGCACATATGATGATCTGAATGAGACTCCCTTAGCCGCACACCTACTCCACTGAGGCATCCCCTACCGTGACCAGAGCCGCGCTGAAGTATAGAGTAGTGGCGTCAACTACAGATGCTGCCATCACTTTAGTGATATCCCGGTACATAACAGATACGAAGGCCGATAAACCTGTGGTGGGGAGAACACCTCTTTTACAGCAATTGTTGAAGAACTTTCAAACACCGGCGGAAGAAAACCGACATCACCTATGCCGATCTGCATGGCTTCCTGCATTTTGGGCGAGTACTGCGAGTTCAAAGCCAATAAGCTCGAATCAGCAAATGCTGTCACCACCGACAAGAAGAGCCTGAGAGAAACAATTCCACGAGCGAGTTCGAGAACAACCAGAGGCTGCTATCGACACACGACCCTTCCCATGCGAGTGCAGTAATATCACAAGTCATTTGTCGACTGTCCCAAGGTGTTGACTGCCGGAAAATTTAAGAGGAGCAACCATTAGAGTGTACCACATCGAGCTCTAGATGTCGATTATCAGATGTCCAAGAGCATAGCTGCTATCATACCACACTTATGTAAACCTCCCTCAGATATGATCGGTATAGTCTGTTAGTACACTAGAGTCATGAGGGATACATAACGAGTCGCTTCTCCCAGACTCATCCATCGTGATAATAGAATGACCAGTAAGCCAAAGAACTGCCCAGAGAAGGCTCCGTAAATACGTTGCTTGAACTGAGCACAAACCAAGAAGAGATATCCGTACATCATTGCGTTAATCAACTTTCATGTCACATCTCGCACGCTGGTTCCCTCGCCATATATCATGGAATGTGGGTATTCGAAAACATCGCGTTTGAAACATAAATTCACCAGTATACGCTGCTCCACAAGAGATCTAGTAGTAGACTACATATTCACGAGTTCTACTATCACACCAGCAGGGAGCATTACCTTGAAACTCCTCCCAAGGGAAAGGGCAGCTACCGTTAGTATAGTCCCAGCCTGATATATACAGGTGATGGGGAATTCGACGTTCGTATTTGGGAAGAGACTTCGCCAATAGTCGAATGCTGCCCATATAGCTGAGAAACAACGATGGAGTTTCAACCGTTCAACGCGACTTCATGTAAATTGTAGACGTTTTGTCTTCGCGACTGATAACGCAGTTGTTCACCTCGGAATGAATTGCTAAATATGATTTTCACTAGTGTTCTTCATATCACGGATGAAACTCCAATGATGAATACTTGGGTTAAAAATCATTATCACATTCACCATGCACACTAATTTATGCGCTTACGACTCCGTCATAGAGACGCAGAAATGAAATTACGTCCGAAGTCGATTGAGAGTAAACGATGCTGCTGCCCATGTAAGGCACACATCGGCAGTCAACCCGCTGAGCTGTCCGTAAAATATCCCCATAATATTTGCATCGATGGCGTTCTCCCAGACGCTACTACTACTACTACTACTACCTGATATCGGGAATAGATATCCCAAACCTATAATAACCATCCTCACATAGGCTCCTGTAGTAACTGTGACGAAATGGCCAGCTTGTAGTGGTACACCCATAGAGGAACACAGTCCACACTGTCGGGCCCAGATGCTTCTCCCTATCGTGATAATCTCTCGGTTTTCATTCCAGGAAAACTCTACAGTGCATGCCAATTCGATATGGAAATGTGTGCTATCATGTGTTGTGACCTGAGTAACCGCTAGAACTGTGATAGCGACAACTTGTTCACTATAATTCTTCCTTCGAAGTAACACACATGTGCATATCAAATTGACACGCACTGTACTGAACGTAAGCCGCGCGATCGCTTGCTACATCGACTCCGATGCCAGCAAAGCGGATTTGCGACATTCAAACCAGCGATTAGAGGTCGTCAATATCATCATCGTATCACCATGCCTCGCAAGTGCATTTACTATCCCTTACCAGTGCACTACGACTGGGCCACCATCCAAGGTAGACTACAGAGGTTATCAATCCGTCACACCCAACTATTGCTATATCATAACGAAGGCTGTAGGGGACGCCCAGAGCTCCCATAATCCCATCTAGCAATCTCAGAGTTAATTGAACGTGTGAACACAACAAGACTATCACCAACACATTCACATCATGGCCACTCGAATATTGAGCCAGGAACGAATTTACCCTTGAACTCAGGTCGCTCGCTGAGCCATATATCACTAGCACGGCGTTCGGATGCCTTGCGATACTTTCCGTATTTATCGATGCCTGGAGGTATCTTAGGAGAGTAGAAGTATAAACACAAGTCATCGGTGAAGCCAAGACGACATTCCTCGATAGTCAACACTGCTACTACATAAACAGTTTGACGCCAACAGCAGGCAAGCTGATTTAATAATTCATATTAGTGATTGTAGGAAATACAATAGCATACTAGAAATTCAAAAACTAGCTTCCTCGCGAGATTCATCTCGGGTCAACGTCTGTGCCCTGCCTAGTAATGGCAACCCTCCCACCCTGATGGACAAACTCCAATCCCGGAATATCTACATTTACTACTGTTGCTATCCGCGAAATCATCAACTGGTTTTCAGAGGTACCCAACGTATAGCTTCCCAAAAATCCCACCCTGAGAATACTTACCATAACTGTAGGAGCCTCAGGGATTTGAGGCCAATCGAGAGTCTCTGAAGGTTCAATGGGGAGGGCTGGGCTCTGAAGCAAAGACCAGCTCATACCATTTCGCAGAAACTAAACGATGAAATCTGCGATGAATGAGTGCTCTCGTGATACGATGCTATTATATGTATGAATGTTGTGCATAAATGCACACAAAGGAGAGTAAATTGATTTTCTAATTGAATTAGAACATATAATATCATATGTGCTTCACTCCCTCATCCACACTATAACCGGTCCACAAGGATAGAGGAGGAAATTCCCACAGCACAATCAGGTCATTGTACCTCAAAGGTCTATTATAGCTTGTCGCCTTACCTCCAACACTTCAATATCGTCAACCGTCCTCTCCTTCTCAAGTAACGCCTTGAGCCTTCTACTAGCTCCAGATTGGCGTCTGGTCAACCCGAACGTATCGAGGGGCTTCTCCCCGACCAATTGCTTCCACATCGGATCAGCCTCTCTGAACGTCGACCGTACAACTCTGAACCTCCGATGAGAATCAAAGTTGGCTGTTTTGTGAATCTCGGGCGTTGGTATCGCTATTCTCCTCGCGTCCCGAGTCGACCTATGATGCACTCGTCTGACGATATCTTCCAGTTTCTTCCCAGTGCGGTTTAGCTTGAACCACATATCTTTCAACCTGAATAACAAGTCGCCTCTGCTATCAGCTCCACGGTGCATTCCACTGCTCGCCAAATACGGCGATAAAGGCATTTCCCCGTACTACACATGGGCTGTACTGTGCTCCCGCATGCTCCTATGGTGCAGAGGCAAAACAAAGACGAGAAAAAGGGCTCAAACTGATAACTCATACAGAAACGAGATCACTTCCCAACGCCTGCTCAGGAAATGGACTAAGCGGATTCCGCCGAAATTTGCGTTGCTCCATCGGGACCTCGAATGCGCTCGCCCGCGGGGAGGAATCTGTTCCTTGCGGAGCACCAGGTTTCGCCAACTCGCCAAACTTGGCGAAACCTGTAACCGAATGGTCAAATGACTAGTCGGCAAAATCCTTTATAACCCCCTCGCAGACGGAATTACAGCGCATTGGTATCTGTAGCGAACAGGTTTCGACGAAATTTCCGGTATGACCGTTCACCAAACTTTCGAATTCGCTCGCCCGTACGCGCAAACCACCTTCATAGCATGTAATTTGCCTACAAGGGGTGGTCCAAATCCGTTTCTGTGCAGGATAGGACCATAATTTTGGCTCTGTTAGGCGAATACTTTCAACGCAGCCAAACTAAACCAGGAATCAGCGAATTTATCGTCGAAAATGGGGTCATTCAGAATTTGCCAACAAATTAATTTAATAGGTGAAAGCTCTTGTACACGCATGATTTGCCTAAAACTTGTGCGTATTCAGCTTATAACCAGTATTCGCCGTAAATTGTCGCCGAAACATGTTTGCTGATTTTCATGGCATGACAGAATTCCGCGGATGACGGTTGCGTCAACTTGGCAGTTTTTGGTTAGAGTCTCGATTCGAGACTTTTGAAGGTGATATTTAAGTTCATGATGAGTTGTTCATCATATCAGATCATTTCCGACAGATGACCATGGGACTTTCGTTGACTTTCGACTTACATGAAACATCGTGACATAATACTATGACTATAATATGGATGCGAATACTCCTCACTCGTTTCAGACTGAGCTTCGGGAACAGCTTCTTGAGCCAGGCGTCTTGACGTGTAACCCGACACACATCACGTGTCGGCCGAGGTGATTGTTACGTCTTAGATCCTACGAGAGTTGTAATGACATCAGATCGTAGAGATCTTATCTCGCTTGCGTGCAGAATGCCAAGTTCTTGCATTGTTGGTTCGTGACTCGCTGTTAGGAAGGTATGCACTAATTTTGTGGTTGAGTATCTTTCATTTGTGTGTAAATATTTGATAATTCGGTGAGTGGGCTTTTCCGCCGTGTTAATGTGTCTTTTATCTTTCCCGGAACTTCAAACGCAAAACAATAACAATACGCAGAATAAACTCAATCAATTGAAATCAGATGGCTATTGTCAGCACTTCTACTTTCTAGTATTTCATACACCACTTACCAATAACTTGTTTACACTGAAATTTCAGTAAGATTCCACAAGTTGTGGACCACAAGGGAATCAAGAATATCAATACAAGACTGAGACGGAACCATCAGTGTTGCACTGCAAGTACAGAGACATAAGCGCAATAACGACCATATACCCTACATGGCACACGGGTTTCATGACGAAACCACCAGTGTTGCACTGCAAGTACAGAGACATGAGACCTACATGGACCGTGGTAACTCATTCATAATGTATTGAGATTCTTGACAAATGGGAAACGTGACGTACGGGACTCATAAGAGAGCGTGTCACGTCACGAATGAGGGACGAAAATGAGAGAGGATAGAATAAGGACATGTATATGCGTAAGCTGGACACAAGATGAGGCTATGGTGAGACAGACGAACTATCGTAGTTCGGCACAGAACTAACCTCACCATATTTGTTATCCACCAACTCCATAAACTCAAGACTGTTAGGTACTAAATCGGACTCAGTAACGTTACACGACCCATTAAGGATGAATGAAAACAGTGAAACATGGGATGGAAACAGAGTGATGACATGTTTATATTATAAACTTCACAAGACTAACAATTGGTCCATAAATTGTTTATAACAATTTACTAGCAGCCCGCGTCGCTTCGCTCCGGGGAAGCTGTAGCTACTACGGAGGGGGGTTATAGTACATTTCCTGCATGGTGTTTGCACCTGGTTTGTTATGAAAGTAAAGCGTGGACTCCACAGTGAGGAATAATAGTTGAAGGTTGGTAGAATTGTACTCCCATACGATCGCCAAATTTGCACGAACTGCGTGGGTACACAAATTGCCTAACTGCAAGAAGTGCAAGAAAACGTGATGAAATTACGCACGATGTAGGTTTAGGAATGCGTTGAAAAGAGTAGAATTGTAGTGTTGGGAGGCGTTTAGAATGAATAAGTAGGAAGTAGCGTGTTAGAGGGGCATATGCTGAAAATGGGGTAGCATGTAATTAGAATTTGTGGAAGAAATTTGAAAATGTGAAATATTAACGCACGATTATATCCACCTAGCTTAAAAGTATTAATTTACACTTCGCTCCGCTGGTTGCACAATTTCTTGAATGTTGGTATAATCTGTGTCTTCCGACGACTAGGCAAAACCCGTATACTCATGAATCATGCCAAGTCGCGGAAATCAGTATTCAGCAAGAGTTGCTGAATTCCTTCCTACGTAGGTGTTATACCAACCATTTTTCCGCCGCCAACCGAATCGTTCTTTCACCAAGAACTCCGCCGTTTTCTAGTCCAGTATCGGAAACGCCGACCCGGTGTTATCAGCGTAATATTCCGTATTTGACCGCTTGTCTTGGTGTTTGGCAAATGAAATCTGTGCGGTGGTTACTTGGCGAAATCCGAGTTGGCGAAACCTGTTACGCCCGTTCCTTGTAGTTGGACAGTGGGGACTCGCCCCCCTCTCTCTATCAGAGATAATGTTCGCATAGTTATTATCATATCCAACAAGGCATTGTTGTAATGACCGTACCAACTAGCACCCGAAGGTGCGGGGAGATGACTGTGGAACAGGTCGCCGAGATCTGCCAGGCTCGAGAGCTATTCAAAAGCCCCCATTTGAACGCCAAACTGCTGCTGCATGGACAGGGCTTTACCAAGATGTGCGATCTCAGCCAGTACTTCAATGTTAAATTCCTCAGCCTCGACTTCAACATGATCAGCGTTATTGAAGGCCTAGAGTATCTCTCGCAGCTTACAGCTCTCCATCTACAGAGCAATCAACTCACGATGATATCAGGACTTGAGCGCAACGTCAATCTGAGGGTACTCAACCTCAGCGACAACCACATAAAGGAGATCGGCGATGGGATGAAGAATCTTGTGAATTTGTCGAACCTCAACTTGTCCAAGAATGAACTCAGTGATTTCCACCAGGCCGTTGATGACTTGTCGCATTGTCCACTGACTACACTAGATCTTGGCAGCAACAACCTGGCTGAATTCGACTGTCTCGAGGAGTTCTCAGAGAAACTGAATGGCCTGAGGTGCTTGTACTTACATAGGAACCCGGGCGTTAGAGCAGTTAAGCACCTCCGCAAAAGGCTCATTTCGATGCTACCACATCTCAACTACCTGGATGATAGGTGGTCATTGAATCCCTCCAGCGTTGGGATCGTTGATGTTATCAGGCCTGTATCAGCTTTCGAGCGTCTGGGGGGAAATATCGACCGGAGGCAGTTTATAAAGGAAAGTGAGATGAGAGATTCCCAATGGGAGGATCGACAAAAACAAATCACCAGGTAGTGTTGAACCGCCATGTCTACCATAGAGAGGTGCTCCGTAGACGTCGTGAAATGGCATTAGAAAGAATCGCGAGGGAGAATTTGGCTAGAGGGCTCAACCAGCCAGTGAGCAGGTTAGGGCACACAGAGAGCTCGGACAGAGTTGAACGGGAGGACAGAGGTAGGGTAACGTGAAAGGGTGAGATGCTGATAGTAATGAATCAGTGACAGTGATGGCCGCCGAGACGGGACAACAGCGAACGATACATGTGCCGTCTACTGGCAGGCCGGCGACAGAGGTATGCAGAGATTGGGGTTAGTGGTGGTCAGTGAGGGCTTTACTCATTGCTAGGTGTAGTAAAGAAAACTGTATTACACACTACATTAGGTAGTATTCGAAGCGTTTATATTCGATGTTAAGTGATAGATCAGCGTACTGAAAAACTGAGTGCAGTACATGTTCGGTGTCTTATTACTTATATAGTGTACGAGTATGGTATTTACTACGACAGCCTTGTATGCATTGTTAGTGTCCCCGACACCGGTGTGACAGGATTGTTCTCTAGCCTGTTGACTCTGCAAGGTACTATGGAACGATGAGCAGTTATGGCAATCGGTAGAGGTCGATCGAGAGGCCCTCATGCGGGATGCCAATCTACAACAGGCCTCTGGAACAGTAGGGAACTGGGAAGGTATGTACATGTACATTCAAATTCTCAGAGGGTCCCTTTTGTCCTCAACGACCCTCCATCTCCGACCTCCCGAACTACTACTGCCCCTCGGGGTAGCGATCTCGGTGACATGGACTGACCATGAACATACGTTGTCGAGAATTGCCCAATATGCTATCAGTGTTGCGTAGCAGAGTTACATGGGTAGTTCATTCAGTTTTTTCAATTCCAAGTATGGTCGTGAAGATATTAGGTCGGGGGACTATTAGCATTGCCTGGTGGACAGTTGTGTATGCCGCTGTTGCTTGCTTGCTTGGCTTGGTTAATAAAGCACTGGTGGAGTGGTATCACTTTAGAGCATTTAACATCCTCACTGTGGTGACACGTGTATTGGCGCTCCCTTTGATATGGGGTATGGCTAGTGGGAAGATGAGTATGATGGAAGAGGTAGTAGTGGTAAAGAATAGCAGCACGACGTATTCGTCTCGGAAGCATCGGACTAGTTGATAGAGCGATTAACCCTTTTCTCATTGTAAACTGCGTTTTAATCAGTGTCTCTCACAGAGAGTAAAGCACCCACATGAAAACACTCAAACAGAAATTCAAAATTTTCACGATATTGCTAATAGCTCTGGCGTTCAAGCTAAAGTTGAGATGTTTCAACACTATAACATCCAAGCTTGACGAATTTCCATCGCCCTTTCATCCGTCTTCTTCAAAGAGCGATTCGGATATTTTTTGAGGGTGTGAGGCCGTCCCTGAGAACATCTTCATGCGAGAAGGTGTTCGTCCATGACGTTCTTATATAAGCCTTATTAACGTTATGTCATGTTGGTCTCAGGTTGTGGCTGCCCTACGGCGCCCATCTTGGCTGCTACTCGCCCCTATAGTTTGTCGCTCTCTAGAGACGGTGGTATCGTTCATGGCAGTTCAGTGGACTAACGTTCCGATGTACCTTGTTTTACGCCGAGCTAATACGCTTTTCGCGTTGGTTGGTGAGGCACTCATTTTGCACAAGTCGATCCGCCTTGCCTCGGTGGAAGCGGTAGTAGTCATTCTGGTCGGTACTGCCCTGGCTGGCTATGGCGACTTGACTTATGATTTTTTCGGATATGTTGCAGCTTTTTCTCAAAACTTTTTCACAACGGCGTCAAACGTTTGTACGTATCGTCTCACGCATGAATCGGCGCAGACTTGCCAGGTTGAGGTCGCGCTTTTCATTCACACACTGTTCTCCATCCCGTTGTTGTTGGGACTAGCTATGTGGACAGGAGAGCTCACTGCATCTTCGATTCCTCTTGACGGAAGCACCCCGGTATTGATGTTCACTATCCTTGTATACGTATTGCTAGTAGCGCTACATCAAATCTCTAATACGATGTCAATTGTGAATGGTGGTCCGGTGAGCACTAGTGTTGCTGGAAATTGCAAGGACATTGTGCAAACCATAGCAGGTGAGTGATGATGCAGATAGGCGTGGAGTGAGAGATCAGGTTATGTTGTTAGGTGGACTGTTATTCGATGACTACATCTACGATCACTGTAACGTCGCGGGTATCTGCCTCAGCTTTGTTGGCTGTGCACTTTATATAAAATCGAAAATAATCACTAACGGGGCTCAAACGCCTCGGAAAGAAGTGAATGGGATGAGGGCAAGCTCAGATATTCATAAGAAGAATATTAAACTAGCTTAAAACGTTCATTGTACATTGTCAATGATGTCGCTTGTGTTGTTGATTGGGTGAAAATCGATCGATTGGGCGCGCGCGGATTTCTTGCTCGACGCTGGACGTGCGATGGTGAAGTGACATGGCCGCCCTAACCTTTATCGGGTTGTTGCATTGTGTTTTGGCTCAATTGATGCTGGCTGCTTAGAAAGAAGCTCTTGAGGCTTCTAAGGATGTCATGTATGCCTATTCTGATTAATGTTACTCGTAGTGATTTCTGTCAAGTTGCCTGCGTTGGCGACGCCAACTTGGCGTTGTATTCTCTTGAATGCAAGTACATAGGGTCTATGCGACTTGCAGCCCAGTGAGAATAGTTTCGCCTTTCTTTCAACGTGTACGATAGATGTGCGGGTATGTTCTACTTATTCTGTGAAACAGGTGAGCAAGAAGGAGATGTCTGCTGTTCTCGAGGTGTTGGCAAAGGCAATCTGTGCTGTGGCTAAGCAGTGCCTTGAAGTTGCATTGGGAGGGCATTGTGTTGATCTTTGTGGGTTGATATGTATTATGGAATCACAATTTCCAGAATGGGTCTTCAAAGTACGCGTTTCGGAGTTGATTTCGGAATACATTCCGGAATATTTGGGAATAGAATCCTCTGAACATTCTGAGAATCGATTCTAAGAATACTTACTAGAATGGATTTCAGTGGATTTCTCTGAACCCCCCGTTTATCAGTGGTATCAGTGGTTATAAGATTAACGGGGTGTAGTTACAGTAATCAGTGGTGACTACTGATTAGCAGCCGTTTCATTATCAACATGGACGTGCGATCTGAGGACAGCATGCTTAGCCCCCTGGTCAACGATACGAGTGTGGTTGTTGCTGGCATCTGCTATCAGATCTTGCTCGATGTAGATTTGACGGGTGAACTTTCTGTGAGGATGTCATCCAAGCAGGAAATGATTTCTACTGGAATGGAGGCTCTGGGGTATTGCAAAGGATAGGGCTCGTGATCGAGTGCTGTCAGGGGCTGCAACTCGGCCGCGCTCGCTCGACACTGCGACGCCAGTGTGTTGGGTGATCTTCTAAATGCGACTCAACCGTGTTCAGAACGTAATGGTTGGTGGTGACGTTCTATCCTCTGAGAATCTCGGTGAGGTCCTTGAACACTGTTAGAGACATTCGTAAGCGTCGTTGATCATCATTTGTATCAATGATAGAGGAAGGTGAGGTGAATTGGAGAGCTTACTGGGTGGTGTGGCGTATGGTGCGGAAGGTAGCACTGGCTGATTATGTATGTGTCAACCAGAGAAGCCTGCATAGAGAGGCAGAGGTGCTCCCAAATGAAAGCCATGCTTAGTTCTACAGTCAACGCTTTTAAGTTTAATATCGTCCTGTTGAGTTGATTACTTGATGGAGGTTCATTAAGGGAAATGACTTATCTTCGAGAGTTTATGGTATCGGGGTAGTTTTATTGATGGTTTATTGACAGAAAAACATGAACTAGTATGGGAGCCATGGTAGAGATTGCTTAGTTAGTTGTGGTAATGGAAGATTCACCGTCACCGCCGCCGGCAGCAAAGGACGAGAAGCCAGCGAGACCTCAGATAAGCGATGTTGTTGACGAGGCGAAGTTGTGGGCAGTAGAGCTCGAGAAACTCCGTCGTGGTACGGCTTGTGTTTTCCTCAACCAGTTCGAAGAGGCTGAGAAGATCTTCCGTAGTGGTATCTTCGCAAATTCAGAGTATGACATGCTCCCTGTACCGGCGCAAGGACATGACCTACGCCCTGCGTACGCCTTTCAATGGGCTCTGGCTAGTTTGTTGGATGGCTTGGCGTCGTTCGCGAATGATCAACTCGATGACTGTCTTAGTAGAGTTTGGCTGACTGAAAAATTAGCAGGGGAAAGCCCGGACCAGTGGATTGGTCAGAGATTCCTCAGAGGTATGTGTTATATGTTTGGCGGAATAGTGCAAATTTTACAACAGTCTTTCGTGAAGGCTGGGGTTAATTTGACCCGTAGTTGGACTTTGATAAAATCGATGGAGAAAGAGGTGTTGAACTACGTGGGGTACGAGGCCGATGTGGTGAAGTCTTTGGGGAGTTTTGTGATTGGGACCCTCAACTTGGTCGTGACTATGCTGCCCGGATCAATAGTCGCGGTGGCTGAGCTCGTGGGATTTGATGGCACTAATAGGGCTGCTTCTATCGGCCTCCTAGAGGAGTGTTACAAAGGAGGGGGTCTCTTGGCGCCGTATGCGGCTCTCGTTATATCGGCCTATCACTTACAGATGAGATCCTTTATGGGGGAGTCGCCGTCGAATGAAGAATTGGATGAGGTGCGAGGCATCCTCGACGAGGGTCTTGGGAATTATCATAACAGTTGCGTGTATTTGATCGAGATGGCTGAATACCATGCTGTGAGAAGGAATCCTGAGGCCGCACTGAGGACCATGGATGTGGCAGGGCGTTCTTGTGATAGGCCGGCACTGGCTCTTGTGGTTAACATGAAGAAAGCGGTTTACCATATGTTGTGCATGGAGTGGGAGGAAGCTATTGGCTGCATTAGAAAGGCAAGTCTATGTCATGAGGAGGTTGGTAGGCGTACGTATGTGCCCTTCTTTGGAGCGTTAGAGGCTATTTTGAGGAAGCTCACTGGACAGGAATATCAGAGCTGTATCGAACGGGTTGAACGGTATCGCGCTATGAACAAGTCCAACTGGCGTGCCTCGGACCTTCTGGCCTTCAAGAAGATTGAGGAGTACTCTAAGAGGCCTGATAGAGTGATTCCCTCTATTGATGTGGTGGAGCTCATGATGCTGCAGTTCTACTGTTTGAATAAGGCCTCTATCGCAGTCATCAAAGGCCCTTTGACCGCGCTCTTGAGCGAGACCAATACGGCGTGCATTCAAGACGAGGCACGGCGCCTGGTGTTGTTAGCAGAGTTGCATAGGCTGGCTGGAGAGCCGGATGAGGCGATAAGGCTGGCAGGAAAGGTCATTGGGAAGGAGGATGAACTTATGCCTCCTCAGCCAGTTCCAGAGTCGGCCGATCTGATACTCTTGAGGCCCTACTGGAGTGGTACGTGCCTTGTAGCTCTGCTTGTGAAAAGGCAGGCTCTAGCTGACAAGGGTGAATGGGAGGCTGGTGATGAAGCTGTAGAGCAGATGAACGCGGTGGCCTGGCGCTTGCAACAAATCGATCCGACACCGAAGGCACGGAAGAGCTTTTTGGCGATGATGAGCAACACTATACAGAGCTATGCTGGGGCTAAGCCCAGTGGGGGGTACTTTGATATGACTTTGAAGTTTAAGAGACACGCTCTAAGGAAACGACTGGAGGCACGTGTAAAGAACGAAGTGTGTGATGGTGAAGAAAACCTGGACAGCGGTTTTGTTAGCGCTGATGAGGAGCAGGAGGAGGAGGAAGGCTGATTTAGTGACAAATCTGTGAGTGTTTTGTAGTAGTCGCTTGTACTATTATATTTTCTTGAAAGATCGTGTTGTAGTTACTCTTGTCAATTTACACAGTATTGCAATCATAGGTCTTCAGTAGAGCGATATAGCCTGCACTGGCTTGGTGTGAAGTGGACACTGCTATCCTATCTCGTTCTGTTCTTGTGTTGAGGCATGTAGTCGCAAGGAGTAGCAATGCGGCGGTTCTGATGTACAACAAAGTCGACTTGGAAAGGTCTGATGATCTCTTGTGATTTCAGCTGTGTGTGAGGTTATGATTCTATTTTCACTATGTTTTCAAGTCCAATTTAGTGATGTCGTTGTTTGCCATCTTGCTTCTTGTATTGTTCTGAGCTAGCCGGGAGAGAGGAGGTCGAAAGCAGAGTTTTTCGGTCTTTCGGTAAACAATTTTGCGAATCACATAGGAAGGGGGCTTCTGGTGTGCGCTCTTCCCGTGTGGTTTTTATTGCTGTCTTTATTGGATTTCGCGGCTCAAAACTGAACACGCTGATTGGAGAACAGAATGTACAATCGCATCAGTTTACCTGCAGATTTGCGCATGTCCCTCATCGACATTTCCAGGGATGTCGCGGCCCTCCGAGAATTAACGATCCAGGAGTTCACCAAGCTGAACAGAGAAGTGAAAGAGCTGAAGTCGAAGGTCACTACCTTGCAGAGGCAACTTCATAAACAGTCAGCTCTCAACCATGGTGGACTCGTAGCCTCCCCTGAGCACGACGACAAGACGATACTCTACACTCTGAGTACGCTGGCTCTCGATGAGGCCGTGGAGGATGCTGTCGCCAGCGATAGGACTGAGGACACTCTAGAGGCATTATCGATGGAGACTTCGCTGGAGGGCAGTACTGAAACGACCGAGCCGCACTGTGAGGGTGGGAAAGAGGCTGAAGGGAGCAAGGGGTTGGTCGTGGGCAGTCGGAGCTCATCGAGGTCGATTGATAGTCGGCGGGACTCTTTCATCAGCACAGTATCCCACGTTGTTGGAAATACAACAAGTAAGATTCTCGAGGTGTCGTGATATGTGATGCTCTCTATCAGGAACCCCAAAGAAGTCCGTATCGTCGTCAGCTGCCGGCGCTCAGCCTACGTCCACTAAGAAGCGACGCCGGCTAGAGGTGCTCGTCTGTTGCGGTGATTGACGAGATTGCGGTGGTTTGTAGGTGGACACATCTTATTTGGTTGAAACGGACTTGACGGTGAAGCACGATGGGAAAATACTGTGTGATCTATACCGGGTGAGGACGCTGACGCTGGTGGTGGAGTCAACATTCACTTGTCTCTTACAGTTCTCCCTCTGGCCTAAAGGAATGCTCTCGAGTCAACTCCGACAGCAGTTAAAGAAGGTCCCCTGTATACGAGAACTACTGGCAAAGGGCGATCTATCCATACAAGGGATCTCTAAAGAAGGCCATTCGATTGACCTCGATGGAGTCATCACTGCCAACGACGTGCGAGACTACACACGTCTAATCGTTAGGTTGTGATGACGTTATGTTCTATTGCATCTACCCAAATGTAGAGGCTGCTGCAGCTGCTGTTGTCATCACTTCGGTGCTGGTGCAAGTTCGCTTGAATACTCCTACATTGGGTTCATCATTGTAGGGAGATACCCCAAACATGCAATGCGGTGGTCGTCTGACTTATTTGCACAAAATTTCCGTAGATGATACCTTGATGGCTATTGTGTGGGTCAATGATTCGGGTGGGCCCGAGATAATGTGTTTGCTAATCGGTATGGTGTAGCTGCCAGGTTTTGAACCTGGGTCTATTGGATGGTGGCTTGGTGCATTATCAGCTACACCAACTTTACTACGGGCAACTGATTCGAGTAGCACTTTGTGACTTCTGCCTACCTATTGACCGCAGAGGGGAACATCCTGGACTCTCATTCGAATATAAAGGTGACTATGAAACGGTCTATCGAGAGTGCACCGTGCTGGCCGAGGGGAGTTCGGATGCATCGACGATAGTCTCGAAGACTGCACCTCAAAAAGACGTTATTGCTATAGGAAATGTTGAAGGAGGTTGACTTTCCAATTCTTGTTGTGATAGAAGTGAGCTTCCTATCTCATCTTACCATTTTCCACCATAAATGGCTTGCTGGTCTCCTCCTAGAGCCAAACCTGAGGAGCAGCTCACTTTCCATGACAAAGTGTGTTGGCGCATCGCCTGTAGCCATCCGTACCGTACTCACTATAGATACTCAGAGATATACCTCTAACAAGTCGGGAGTGGGCCTCTACCACGCATGAGATGACCGATATTGAAATTCGAGGCCCATCTCCAGTGATGCACAACCGCCAACGGCAGCCATTAGCTCGGTACATTGTGACCAAGCCAGCATCAGAGTTGGGGGGACCTGTCCACTTCTCTAGTGGTAAGCGTCTGTGTCAATGGTTGTTGTACTAGAAGTAACGTGTTGGAGGTACGTACAACCCAATATCGTATAAATTCCCGCAGCTGAAGCCAAGGGAAGTGGAGGAGACAACACTGCCGACTGTGGTGCGAAGGCGTGTAGACGAGCATTCTATACAAGCGTGCTTGCCTCCCAAGAGCAGCGCTACGCAGACCGCTCGCTTTGAGCCGGTCAACGCTTGTAGAGTTTTGTGACTGCGATTGTAGTGACGACTTGACTGAACGTAGGTGTCCAATACGAGGCGCAAGTCGCTAGCGGCATGAGGCTGTCGAAGCACGCGAAAGCGTCCCTCAGGGAGTTCATATTGAAACCTGAGATCAACTTCGCCATAGAGCAAGCATTACAGCAAAACGAGACGATGGATGTATTTGCACGCGACTTTGATAAACTCGGTAGGTCCATGTCGATTGCTCCTGATCTGGCTGAGCTCCAGTGGTAGGTGTGGACGAGTCCCGCATGGCTATGCTAGATGCAAGTCTCGGCTCAGGAGCTGAAACTGGGCTCACCGAGGTAGGGGCATCCTCCTCATTCGTCGTCGACTAGGTGGGCAGCTGCCGCCGGTTTGGTCAGTGGCGTAACTTTCATGATGTTACCTACACCAGAGAGAAGAGGATTGAATGCATCCATTGGGTGCCAGGAGAGCCCGATGTTGTTGCTGCATCGTACTTAGACAACCTCACCTATGGCCAACGACTCGAGACCATGGGCAAGGTGAGCGGTAGCCGATACGATGCTGTCTCCATTGGAGAGCGCCAGAGGGTTTCCTTGGCGAGCTGATGTTAGTGTAGCGTGACTCAG